TCCTTTTTTTTTGCATTTCTTAAGCGCGTTGCAAAGCAGCCCCTCCCCGCGTGCCCGATCGAGCCCGAAAGGAGGCGGCAAAGCCGGGCGGGGGTGGGAGATGGGAAACCCGAGGAATTCCTGCCGCGCCTCAGCCCGATTCGCACGATCGTTGGTGCAATTCCCGCCAACGCCGCCCGGATCCTCCGTCTCCCGGCCCCCCCCCTCCCCTCCGCGACCCAAACCTGAGCGACTCCCGCTCCGACATCATCCATGGCCTCGCGCGGCGGTGGCAGCAGCACAGCCGGCCCCTGCGCTGACGTCACGCTCCCGGGGCGAAGGAAGGAGGGAACAGAGGGAGGGAGGGAAGAGAGCCGCTTAAAGGGGCAGCGCTTCCATTCATCCGGCTCAGACAAAGAGCGAGGAGGGATTCCCGCTCGCTATCTATTCAGGCCGAGCTTGTCCGCGAGTCTCCCTTTAGAAGCTTTCCCGTATCCGGTTATTACCGGATCTCTTCAGGATCCTTCCCAGTATTTCCAGCCGCCGAAAGCCACGGGGGTGGGGATGATCGGTGGGCATCGAACATGCAACTGAGTATGTTCTGGGTGCTAAGACTGCGACCCCCATAACCCACAGCCTCCGTGCCTTTCGCCGGCTGGAAATATTAGCAAGGGTCCTAGCAGATCCGGTACAACCAGATTGGCGAAACCTGATGATAACCTTTCGATGCGGGGGAGGGAAGACTGCGATCCCCATAATCCCCAGCCCCCGCGGCTGGGCATAGCCTTTCTAGAGTTTAGAACCCAAACTTTTAAAGAATTCTTTATTGGCCAAGTGTGATTGGACACATTAAGGGATTTGTCTTGAAACTTATAGAAAAACGTAACTTAGAAAGGGGGTGTTTGAAATCTGTGTTTTCATGTTTACTCAGAAAAATGCCACCGTTTCATCTAAACAGAAAAGTTTACACGGATTCGGTGGAGCATGGAACGTGCTACTTAATATATTTGGGGTGACCCCTCTGCCCCATCTCCAGGCACCCAGGATAAACAAGTTATGGGGGGGGGGAGTGCAAAGAGCCAAGAAAAAAGATCCAGGGAGAACAGAATCTGATTTGTGGGATCCCTATGCCCTGGACTTGTCTGTTTGCTCCCAGACGTCTCATTACCCTGCTAGGTAACATAACCAGAGAACTCGTTTGCTTTTTTTTACATCTGTGGTACACTTGGAAGGGGATCTCCTCAACACTAGCAGAGCCTTTATTAATACTTGCTGGCATGGGCAGCTCGCAAGACTGTTTCCATTTGCCCACCTGTAAATATGCTCACCTGTAAACAAGCACTTAAATGGTGGCAAGGGGCACATAAAACCAGCCATTTCCTAAACAACTGGGCAGTAAGCCTTTCTGGGGTTGAACTGCCTTTGGTATGGCAGGTTTAACTGAGGTTCATTTGACCAACCACAGTTCATGTTTGAATGGGTGTGATTCTGCAAACCGAAGTCTACCCGATCAATTCTCCTCTTAAAATCTGGAAGTCAAGAGGACATCCAGCAAAGGACTCTGAAATTTTGGTCCCCTTCCCCAATGAAATCCAGTCAACAACAGGAGCACCAGTATTATGGTTGGTTTTATTTTTATTTTTTTAAGAATAAAATAAAATGGGGGAAAAAAACTAGTTAGGGTCCATGGGATCAAAGTCATCCCCCATTCCCACACTTGTGGCAGCCATTCCGGCGTGATTCAATGCAGGTTGCCCTTTTCACTACTGAATATACAATACAGCAATCCAGAACAATTCAATTCCCAGCTGGGTTGGTTTTTAAAAGTTTTTTTTTCTAGCCCTCAAGATAATTGATAAAAGTGCATGGGTAGCATCCAAAAAGCCATTAACTATCTTCCCAATGAACAAGCCTTAAGATTCTGTACTTGCAACATTTCTTATCCTACAGCCCCGTTTCATCAAACTTTCCCAATTTCTACAGACTGCAAAATCCATTTTTTCAAAGATTAGCATGTTGATTACTTTTAAGCATGAAGTATTCACTGTCTCCGTAAGGATGCTCCCAAAACCTTCTGTCGGAGTCACAAATTATAGGGATGGTTTAGGTTCAGTGAGTTGTGAGAACTCTTCGTCAACTATGGTTTGTTCAGTAAACAAAGTTTACAATAATTCCTGCTTAGCACAATATGTGAATAGAACCGTGAAGATTTATGGTGATTTCATTAATGGGAAAGTAGCCAAATAATAATTATGCAATACTGGAAAGGATGAATCTATGCCAAATCTACAGCTGTGGATATTTTAAATTCCCTGCACTGAAAAGAGACCTCAGCTGGTATTAAAAAGCAAAGCCTTCTAAAATCTAAATAAGTCAGTTTATTACTTGGATGGGACCACTAGAAAAATTCCAGGACTGTAGATTGTTGGTTTTTTTTGAGAATGAAACATCCTGAAAGAAGACAAGAAGAAGCAAGTCCCATGCCAAGAACAAAAAGGACAAGGATATGATCATGAAATGACTGGGGATCAAGGCCTAATTTTACTATTCTTTAGCAACATCTGAATTAGTTCTTGACAAAAGAGAAGAGCACCCTTAAACCACCTGATCGAATTTGCTTGAGATTTCTAGACGGTTAAAAAGTCATTCTTTCTCCGTAATGGTAGTCACTATCCTATTAAACAGCGTTTTGTAATGTGTGAACAGCACTGAGCCCAAGATCTGGTTTTTTTTTGGTTTTCTTTCTGTACAGGTAACCCACGACTTAAAATTAATTTAGTGACCATTCAAAGTTACAATGGCACTGAAAAAAGCAACTTATGACCATTTTTCATACTTATGACCTTTGCAGCATGGTCATGCGATCAAAATTCAGATGCTTGGCAACTGATTCGTATTTATGACCGTTGCTGTGTCCCAAGGTAACCTGATCAACTTCTGTGACCTTCTAACGAAGTCAAGGGGGAAGCCAAATTCACATAACCCTTTTACTAACTTATCCACTGCAGTGATTCACGTAACAACGGTGGCAAGAAAGGTCGTGTAATGGGGCAAAACTTACTTAACAAATGTCTCACAGAACAACATAAATTTTGGGCTCAACTCTGATCATAAGTCGTGGACTACCTGTACTGATTCTTCTTAAAAGAAAAAAAAAATGATACGCTTGTTATTTTTAAATAGAAAATGTTCTATGTTTTCCAGAACATCTGCTGCCACGATGCTCATAATACACCAAATACTCTGGAAAATACCCTAGAACAGGGGTCTTTGGCCACTTGAAGACTTCAACTCCCAGAATTCCTTAGCCCTGAGGAATTCTGGGAGTTGAAGTCTACAAGTCTTCAAGTGGCCAAGGTTGGAGACCCCTGCCCTAGAAAAGCCAAATTATGTGACAACAGCAAGCTACTCAGAGCTTGTTTTGCCTCTCTTGGGTAAGCAGAAAGGAGCCATCAAAACCCGCAAAGGCCTGGTCTCCATCTTGAACGCCATGTTTATACTGATAGCCATGTGATCAAAGAACTTCCTTCATGTTGGCAGTTCTTACCAAATGTCTCAGGAGGATGAATTGCTCTATTTCTGCGGTACAATTATGGAGGAGGAGCCGAGGAGAACCGGCCCTACAACTTCCTCCAGCAGATCCCTCGCTCCTCTGCCATTTCCTGTTGAATTATTGCCTTTTTCTAAAATATATATATATACCTGGGTTAAATTGCAGTAGGCGGCCGTTCCCATCAAACGCCACAGTGGAGGCTTTCTTTTGACATCCAAACGATGTCAAATTCAGCGAATGTCACCCGTGAAGTTTAGGTGGCTGCCAACTTTTCCTTCCACCGTTTTCAGGTTCTCGAAGGTTTCAGGTAATGAAAAGCCTCGTCTGTGCAGTCTTCCTAAAGCTGTTCTTGCGGCTGATGACAAGAGGATCGGGGAGAAGGTCCAAGGCCACAGATGGCTGGCAGCATGTACCAACTGCATTTGAACGTTGGTGGAGAGCAATCTCCTGTATGCCACAAGGCTTCAGGTTTTTTTTCCCCCACCCAGTTTCTTTGGCTGAGATAGTTCCAGGTCTCATCCATCTCAGTAGGGAAGGAAGAGGTATCTCAAGTGAGATTTCCCCTCTGAACAACCCATAGCCACAATCCTACTATGCCTACTTGGGTGGCAGCTCTGTCCACTGTCATAGGATGTCTGAACAAACTCTGGATAGGACTGGGCTGTAAAAGAGGTAGCCATTTTATTTATTTTTTGATAAAGGGCCATATGGATCCGGTGAGGGATTTTAATAAAGCTGGAAGGGACCTTGGAGGTCTTCTAGTCCAGCTCCCTTGCTCAAGCAGAAGGCTCTATATACCATTTCAGACAAGTGGCTGTCCAATCTCTTCGTAAAAACCTCCAGTGATGAAGCAGCCACAACTTCTGAAGGCAAAGCTGTTCCACTGGTTAATTGTCCCCACCGCTAGAAAGTTTCTCCTTAATTCCAGGTTGCTTCTCTCCTTGGTTAGTTTCCATCCATGGTTTCTTGCTCTGCCTTCTGGTGCTTTGGAAAATAGATTGGCCCTTTCTTCTTTGTGGCAGCCTCTCAAATACTGGAATACTGCTATCATGTCACCCCATGTCCTTGTTTTCCCTAGACCAGCCAAACCCAAATCCTGCAACCATTCATGTTTTAGTCTCCGAGCCTTTGATCATCTTAGTTGCTCTTCTTTGCACTTTTTCCCAAAGTCTCAACATCTTTTTTGTAATGCGGTGACCAAAACTGGATGCAGTATTGCAGGTGTGGCCTTAGTAAGGCTTTATATAGCAGTACTAATGCTTTCCGCCTGTTTGGACAACCAAGGATTGTATTAGCGTTTCGGGCTGCCGCCGCACACTGCTGACTCATGTTTAAGTCATCGTCTACTAGGACTCCGAGGCCCCTCTCAGAGTTATGGTTTGTGAGCCAGGTTTTTCCTAATCTATACTTGTACCTTTGGTTTTTTTCCTGCCCAGATGTCATGTTGTTGGATTGGGCCCACTGTTCAAGTCTTGTCAAGATCTTTTTGGATCCTGAGCTTGTCTTCTGGAGTGATGGATGAGGACAGATCCCAGGAATCCCGTCTCCTCATGCCTTCTATTCGAACTAATTAGATCCTGTTCACTTCCCGGACTATCCAGGAGCTTCACTTCATGTACGGTCTACTCTGCTAATCCACTAGGCCCTTCCCACACCCATCCAAAGAATCCAGGGCTTCCACCCTCTATCACACTAGCACTAATCCTATCCCACAAAACTCGGGGATCCTGGCTCGTTACCCCTACAACTAATCCCTACAGCCCACGCCCCTCCCTCAAGAGCTCAGGAGTCCCCTCCCCCCTTTTTCTACTTCCCACCGCTACCCGACTTCCTCCTCCTTCAACGTATGAGGACGTTGATCTCGGTCACGCTGGCCTCCATGACGTTCTCCGCCGTGGTCTTGCCGTGCTGTTCCTTGAGGTGGCGGCGAATGGCGGGCTTGTGGGCAAAGCGCACGTCGCAGTAGGAGCAGCGGTAGGGCCTCTCGCCACTGTGGAGGTTCATGTGATCGTGCAGCGTGGACTTCTGGGTGAAGCACTTCCCGCAGATGGTGCAGGAGTGGGACTTCACCCCACGGTGGACATTCATGTGACGGTTGAGGTTGCTGCTGTGGTTGAACTGCTTGCCACACCGAGGGCACATGAAAATGAAGTGATGGGCCCGCATGTGGAAGACCAGCTTCTCCACCCCTTGGAAGACTTCCTCACATTTGGTGCAGCAGATGATCCTAGAGATCCCGCTACCGCCCCCAAGGGTTCCCGAACTGCCCCCTCTCCCAACCGCAGGAAAGGTGGAGAAAGGACGGCCGCTCAGTCCTGCGAGGACCAGCCCCATCCCACCGCTGCTGCTCTGGCACTCGGCCGCAACGGCTGCTGCCTCGCTGGTCTCCTCCAAATAGCCTCCTCCAGGGATGATCAGGAGGCCTTTCCCTACGTCATCCTCAGAGAGGCTGTAGGAGGCCTTGACCACACCGTGCTGAGCTTTCTCTGGTGTAGACTCTGGAGAAGACTCAATGGCTTCTGCCACCGTAGAGTTGACTTGAGGTTCTTCCTGGTCTCCGGATTCAGCTTTGTCCCATCCGGGCAAAGGAGATAATTCCTTGTCCCAAACTTGCTGTGGTGAGCTTTCCTTGTTCCAGCTTTGCTGAGGCGATGTGTCTTTGCTCCAGCTGGTGCTCATCTGCTGCTGCTGTTGTTGCTGCTGCTTCTTCTGCCGCTGGGCCACTTCCATGGCCGATTCGATCTTCACGATGCAGATGTCAGAGACAGAGTCTTCATACCCAAAATCCTCCTCCTGCTCCTCCTCTTCCTCTTCTGCCTTCATCTCCAACTCTTCTTCCAATGGGAACTCCAGCTTAACAGGCCGCTGAATCGACCTATCAACCATAAGAATACATTGAGAACATTAGGAAGCTGGGAGGCTTCTTACAAGGAATCAGACAATTGGTTCATTATTGCAAACCAATAACTCACAAGTCTAATTAGCTCTATCCATTCTCTAGAGACAGGCAGCTCTTCTCAACACAGGTAGTCTTTGACTTACGACCAGGAGCCCCCAAATTTCCATTGCTAAGCAAGACAGTCGCAAAATGAATTGGGCCCCATTTTACCACTTTTTCTTACCACAGTTGTTAAAATGAATCAGTGCAGTTCTGAAGTTAATAACACGGTTAAGTGAATACACGGTTTCCTCACTGACGTTGCTGGTCAGATCATCGCAAAACGGGACCACATGACCTTGGGACACAGCACAATGCAAGAACGCCAAAATGACGACACAAACCAAGTCATGTCATCCTATAAATGCCGGGGTCATGTATTTGTGCCTCTGTATTTGTGCATCTGATGCAAGTACAGGTAGTCCTCCACTTACGACCATAATTGTTGAGACCCAAATTTCTGTTGCTGTGCACGATGGTTATTAAATGAGCTTTGCCCCCATTTTATGACCTTCCTTGCCGCAGTTATCGAGTTATTAAGTGCAACACTGCAGCTGTTAGTAACATGGAGTAAATATGAGTCAGTTGACAAGCACCTGAATTTTGATCATATGACCACAGAGCTGCTGCGACGGTCGTTTAAGTGTGAAAAATGATCAGAAGTCACTTTTTTCAGTGCCATTCTAACTTTGGACGGTCATTAAATGAACTGTTGTAGGTGGGGGACTATCTGTAATTACACAGGATAGACAAGACTGAAGCAGAGAGCTATTACGGGTTTGGCTGCCTGGACATGGTGCTATTATCTTGCTTACCCAATATATTCCTTAGAGCAGGGGTCCTCAAACCTGGGTAACTTTCAGACTTGTGGACTTCAAATCCCAGAATTCTCCAGCCAGCTAAAGTTGCCAAATTTGGAGACCTCTGCCTTAGAGCACACAGTTAAAGAAATACCACTAAGAACAATTTTAAATAGCTTGCATTGGTCAGCTGGGGTGAGTAAGAATCACCTCTAAGTGACCAGGCTGGAAACTCCCTCCCCCCTTAAAACAATTGGTTCTTTCCATGGATTTTTCTCCCCCTTTTCTTTTAGGAAGGAACTCGGGCTAGTGGCGAAAAGGGCACCCAAACAGGCTAATAACTGTCTTGCACAAGTATTTGCACAAGACTGAGGAATTCTTTAGCAAACCTCTTGCGTGAGTGCACTTTATTGGATGAGGTAGAGCAACCCACAACGCTGGAAGACTTGAATTTCCGGTAGCCTCCAAATTTGGACGTTTCCTCCTTGAGGTTTATCTTGGGTTCGATGAATTGGGACAGGGCATTCCGACATTTCTCCACCACGTGCTCCATCTGGAGGTAGCTGGCAGCGGTCAAATAGTTCACAATGTCCCTGACGGCAAACTCGAGTGCTCCAGTGTAGCAAGAGAGAAGTAGGTCAGCTACAATTTTGGCACTGTGCATGAGGGACACTTGGAGCTCGGAGGAAGGGTTGAGCAGGAACTGGTCTCTCAGAAACGGGGAGCAGGCTGCCAAAATGACTTTGTGGCCGCGGAACTTGAGGCTGTCTGCCACGATGGTGACATCACAGAAACGCTCCTCAAAGCGCAGCTGGTTCATGTTGCGGAGGGTGGCCGCCTCGTGGCCAGGCAGCTGAAAGCGAAGAAGCTCCACGCCAGATGCCATTTTGGCTCTTGCGAGCTGGCCGACTTTCAAACGGGGAGGAGTAATAGAAGAGGCTGAGGGTCGAAGAAAACCTTCACTGTAAAAAAAAAAAAGGGAAGAGGAAGAAGAAAACGAATGTAAGACTTTAAAATAATCTCACTTTGGACAAAGTGCCACAATCCTGCCCTATACCACCCCCAAGGCTTCACAGAAAGTGCAAAATCTTAATTTATCCAGTTTGGGATTAGCAAGTTGTATGAACCAAGCAGGCAAGCCCTATCCAACTAATCATGCTCTAATTGGAGTTACGGAAACTGAAAAGAAAAGCATAATGCTGGCTGAGTTTACAGTGTGTTGTCATGTGTTATGGGTGTGTGTGGATGGATAGATTAGATAGATAGATAGATAGACAGACGGACAGACAGATAAATAGGATAAATAGTCAGATAGATAGCAGTTTATTATCTGCTTTTCTTTTAAAAAGGATCAAAAGATTTTGGATGTATACACACACACACACACACACACACACACACACCCTAACCTTTTGCTCCTTTTTAAAAAAGCAGATAATAAACTGCTCTATGCCCTAAATTGTGGTTCAAATTGAAACATATCTCAGATGTAAGTTTGCCTGATTCATAGTACTTACTAAGCTATAAACCAGTTTTACAAACAACCACAGAAATGTTCTAAATCTAGAGTTGACCTATCTGTGTTGCAATACTTCCAACCACCACTAAAAAAAAAACCACCTGCAAATAAAATTGGTCTCTGTTGCCACCTAATGGTTGGGTGGTGCTCTGCAGTCCAAATACTAACAACAATACAAACAATTGTATTGTTTCCTTAAGGCTTAAGCACTTCCTTCAACTATACCTCAAACTTCTGATTGCTTTATCAATGATGTACTGATGGGAGAGAGAGGAAAAAGCCAAACAGAACATATTTTTGTTCCCCAAAGCTATTTGTGAGCTCAAACACAGTCTCTATCCCGGTTCACACAACACTTCAAGATTTGATTTCTGGCTTGGGACGTTAAGGGAATCCAGTCAATATTATTCTGCTCTTTAGTTCAGGGTTTGCAATATCGTCTCCAGATCTGGGCTTCCCTTGCAAAATATCAAAGCCTACGTTGCATTTTTTTTTTTTTTTGAGGTTGTGGCATGAAGAAGTTATTTTCGGCTTCTATACATTTTCTGCAGGACGAATATTACATACACCCATACAAAAAAAGAGGGAAGCACCCGTCTAGGCTCGGCTCATTTCCCCAAGTGTTTTCTACGCCCTACTCCACTTTCACTTCGCTGGCCTGTTACCGTTTAATTTAAAGAGCCGACGTTTCAGGCATCGAGCCAACGGACACGGCTTTTCCAGCACACACGAGCATCTTCCACGTGTGCGCGCCCAACTTACAGCGAACAACTATTCCGCCGCCACAGAAGTTGCAAGCGGAGAGAGCGCTTGAAAAAAAAAAAAAAAAAGAAGAAAGGAAAATAAAACAGGTGTGGATTAACTTTACGGGCGACGGCTGGGGAGGTATGGCGTTCAATTCCCACCCAAAGGGAAGCGCCGTGAGAAGGGGCAAAACCCCCGCGGTGCGTGTGAAAAGTCTGCCGCGTTGCCCCTCTCGGCTTTCCCAACCAGGCGCCCTCCCAGCTCGCTGGATCAAAGATCGGAAGCGATTCTTCGATTGCAAAGCGCCGCTTTCCAGGCACCGAAAAAAAAAAAAGAAAAGAAAAAAAAGGCGGGAATTTTCCTTTCACACTCTCTCTCTTGCAGCACAAAGCCTAACCTGCAACCTTTTCTTTTCTTTTCTTTTTCCGCGCGGGGGTGCAAAAAAGAGGCTTGCACTTTTCTTCCCCTCGTTTGCACGCTTCCCCAAGCCCGGGATCTCTCGCGTGCACGCTTGCACACACAAACCACCCCGCTCTGCTGCTGCTGGTCCCCGGCTCCCTTTCCCCCGCTTTTGCAAGCTCCTTTCTTCCTTTGCAAAAGACCCAGTTTCGCTTCCTTGCAAAAGAACCGGAGACCCACCTACCCACCCACCCACCCACCCTCTCGTCCCGGGTATAGATCCCCGCCTCACACCACCCCCACCCCCGTTTCCCCAACCTCTTCTTCCCCCCTCCCACCTCACCTGGATCGCGGTTCCCCCTCTCTTGGAGGAGAGGGGACGGCCCCAAATCGTCCAAAAAAAAAAAAAGAAGGAAGCCAACGGAAAGGAATTAAAGGGGCCTCCTTAAAGGGCCAGAAACGAGGGGGAGGCAATATTTGTCAGCCAGATAGAAAAAGAAAGAAGGGGAAGGGGGCGGGGGAAACCCTCCGAAAAGGGTCAATGAAAAGAAGGTGGGAAGAAGCAGAAACAACTTCATTGCATTGTGGGAGAGAGTCCACCCGTGGGATCCTTTAAATGCCCATCCTCTTCCCCTTTAAGGCCGGTGACGTCATCAACCCGCGCCTGGAGGGCAAGAGGGGAGGGATGTATTCTTCAGCCTCCTCCAAATCACCTTGGCAACTAATCCCTCCCCCTCCTTGGAAACCGCTTTTGTAGAGATGGAGGAGTTTTTTTTTTTCCCCCTCCCTTTTTAAAAGGAAATTATGAGGTTTCCAAAGGGGAAAATCAACTGGGAAGAGCCTGAAGTTTTCCCGCTATATGCCGTCTTCGAGATGGCAAAGGTGCAAATCTAGCCTCTGAAGCCAGCCCGAAAAGCTCTCCTGCCCTTTCCCAGTTGTCGGGCTGCAAGGAATTTCCTTTTTCTCATCTAAACAACCGGCTTCCCATCGATAGAGCTTTAAACCTATTTAAGAGAGTCGTTAGATTTTTTAAAAAGTCCTACAACTGGCCCAAACCGATTTTTAAAAACATCCCCTGCTTTGAATGTGCTTGCAAAGCAGTATAGGTAGACCTTACAACCACAATGAAGCTGCAAATTTCTGAATAGGAGTGAATAAGAATAGAATAAGAAAAGAAAAGAATATAATGAGAAGAGAGAATAGAATGAGAAGAGTGAAGAGATAGAGTCCAGAAATATTTCACAATAAGAATTCTCCACTCCTCTACTCATTGCAAAATATCTTATGCCACCAGACTTGAAATTCTAGACCTAGACAACCTAGAATTACGACTCCTTTGGTCTGATCTAAGCATAGTTACAAAATTATACATTGTAATGTCCTACCTGTCAATGAACACTTCAGCTTCAGCTATAACAATACAAGAACACGCAATAGACACAAACTCAAGGTGAACTTGATTGCAGGAAATATGACTTCAGCAACAAAGCAGTCAATATCTGGAATACTCTACCAGACTCTGGTTTCTTCCCCAAACCCCAAAAACTTTAACCTTAGACTGTCTACTATTGACCTCACCCCTTTCCTAAGAGGTCTGTAGGGGGCGTGCATAAGTGCACGAACCTGCCTACCGTCCCTGTCCTATTGTTTCTTTTTATTTTTCTTATATGTATCCATTTTCATGTATTCATAACTATGCTCATACTTATACCTGTTATCGCTTGACAAAATAAAATAAGAGAAGAGAAGAATAAATAGAATAGAGGAGAGGAGAGAATGAGAAGAGAATAGAGTAAGAATAGAACAGAACAACAGAATAGAATAGAACCTTTATTGTCATTTTGAATGTACACTAATTGGCATACATTAAAATGAAATTTTGTTGCACGCAGCTCTCAAAGGGTCTCCACCTCCAATACACACTACATAAACATGACTAAATAAATAATCGATGGTGGCTAAAGCAAGACATTTTCTAAGTGGATTTTAGAACATAGAAAGGAATTGGAAGGGACCTTGGAGGTCATCTAATCCAACCCCCTGCTCAAGCAGGAGAGTCTCTTCCAAATATTAATCTCTACCTAGGATTGAACTCATAGCCTCCTGACTGTGAGGCAAGAGCTCCACCTCTAGGCCACCGCCCCATTGTATGACCTTTCTTGCCCCACTTGTTAACTGACTGACTACAGTTTTTATGTTAATAATGTGGCTGTTAAGTGAATCTGGCTTCCTCCCCACCCCAATTGACTTTGCTTGGCAGAAAGTCACAAGAGGTGATTGCATGAACCCAGGACAGTACAACCATCATAAATATGAATCAGTTGCCAAGCATCTTGATCATGTGACCATGGGGATGGTAATGGTCAGGTAAAAAACAGTCATAAGTCCCTTTTTCCAGTGCCATTGTAACTTTGAATGGTCACTAAACAAACAGTTGTAAATCGAGGACTACCTGTATTTTATTTCTTTATTATTCCTTTTATTTACTTGCCAGGCATTTGGGAAGTTCTCATCTAAGTGATGGCTGTTATTAGTGGTAGAAGTCATCAAATCTGTAATGCAACAAATTTCCTTTTTCTCCTTCAGCGTCATTGTTAGACAACCAGCTTCCTCTGGCAGATTTCAAATTGTTAATACATTTGTCAAATTTGCATGCCAGGCATTTAGAAGTTGAATAGTGGCTGAGAAATTCTCCACTTGGTCCTCAAGTCTAGTTACTTTCTGGAATATGGAGGCAATTATGGGATGGGCATCTTTGTGGAGACTAAAATATACGAAGAATGGTTGCAGGATGTGGGTTTGGCTAGTCTACAGAAATGGACTAGTGGAGACATGATAGCAGTATTCCACTATTTGAGAGGCTGCCACAAAGAAGAAAGGGCCAATCTATTTTCCAAAGCACCAGAAGGCAGGGCAAAAAACAATGGGTGGAAACTAATCAAGGAGAGAAGCAACCTGGAATTAAGGAGAAACTTTCTAGCAGTGAGGACAATTAACCAGTGGAACAGCTTTGCCTTCAGAAGTTGTGGGGGCTTCATCACTGGAGGTTTTTAAGAAGAGACTGGATAGCCACCTGTCTGAAATGGTATATAGAGCCTCCTGCTTGCTTTGGAAGAGGGACCCAAAGTCCATTCCAGCTGTATTCTGATTCTGGATCACAGATCAAACTTACCAAGGAGTTCCAGAAAATGAAGTGGCCGAAAAAAAATTGGTTTAAATACGTTAGAGGATATGGATGTCACAGTACTTTTTGTTACTTTTTTGTTTATCTTATTGTAAGGCTGGTTATTTCCAGTGAAGTGGCATAAGTAAATAAATTAATCCTTTTGGTAGAAAATGAATACAATTGAATACAATACGTTCTTACTTAGGTTTGTGACATAAAGACAATAAATAACATTTCAATACCGTGCTGTCTTCATTACATCAGTGAAATGCCATCTATAAGACTCGTTTTAATAACTCATGCAGAAATAATGGATGGAAACTAATCAAGAAGAGAAGCCATTTGGAATTAAGGAGAAACTTCCTCACCGTGAAGACAATCAACTAATGGAGCAGCTTGCCTTCAGAAGTTGTAGGTGCTTCATCACTGGAGGTTTTTAAGAAAAGACTGGAGAGCCACTTGTCTGAAATGGTATAGGCCAGGGTATACTGCTTAAGCAGAGGCTTGGACTAGAAACTCTCTAAAGCAGTGGTGGGATTCAAAAATTTTTTACTACCAGTTCTGTGGGCGTGGCTTGGTGGGCATGGCCGGGGAAGGTTGCTGCAAAATCCCCATTCCCTCCCCACCCCACTAACCTGCTTTCCAGCTCCATTCTCCTGTGCAGGGCAACAAAAAAGGAAAACCCAACAGATCAGCTGGGACTTGGGAGGCAGAGAATAGATGTGGGCGGGGCCAGTCAGAGGTGGTATTTGCCGGTTCTCCGAACGACTCGAAATTTCCGCTACCGGTTCTCCAGAACTGGTCAGAACCTGCTGAATGCCACCTTTGCTCTAAGGTCCCTTCCAGCTCTATTTCCTTCAGAAAAAAGTGCAAGACATTTTTTTGCTAATAAAGTCACTTTCGTATGTTGACCAAAGGAGCCAAGGAGATAACTGAGCTAACAGTTTTGCAAAATAATTGGGAATTGGTTCAATCTTATTGACTCTAAAGATGTCAAGGGTTTACTTTCTGTCACCAGTTTGACCATCATTCTTCCTGGCACCTTTTGGTGGCTAAGGTGGGACTGAGGGAATGGACTTGAGAAATAAGGGAGAGGGGCGGTAAGAAGAGTGAAATATACATAAAACCTTTTTTGAGGTTGGGAGGTGAGAGATATCTGCAGCTATGAGAAACTCTCTTTGGAAGAGGTTATCTGTCAACCCCACGGCATTTCTATCCATTATTATGACAGATCTTGGAGAAAGTATTGGGACTTCAGCGGTAAAGAATCTTGGATGAAACTGGATGATCCAGCTCAGAACCAGCTGTGTGTGTGTGTGTGAGAGAGAGAGAGAGAGAGACAGAACTGGCTGTTCCTGTGAATGACCTTTGTTGAGACTTGAATGTTAGGTATGCAGCTTTTCTTGCTAGGTTTCTCAGCTGCTTTTTATTGCCATCAATCATAATATATTTTGCAACACCTTATAGGAATTGAAACTGAGGGCACTGCATTATAATTCTCCTTCCTGAGTGGGTGATATCAGTCACTAGTGATGAGGGCTGAAGGATGAGACCCATAACCTCTTTTATGTGGGGCACTGTACACGCTATATAATAATATATAATATCTACATGAAGCCAGCTGAGGAAGTCATCTGGAGTTAAAGGTGAAATATCAATACAGGTAGTGGCTGATTTACAACCGTTTGCAAAATGGCCAACCAATGTTATGACAGATAACTCTCATGGTCCCTGCAGTCACGTAAGCAAAATTCAAGAATTTGGCAATGGGCATGTATTTAAATATCCTGGGGATTCACTTAACAACCACATGGTTTACTTAACAGCGAGTGGTAACAACCATGGTCAACAACCATGGTAAAAAGTGGCCAATTGGGCATGACTCACCCAACAATGGTCTCACTTAGCAACAAATGGAAGTTCTGGTCCCAATTACAATAGTTAAATTGAGGACTCCTTGTATGCTAATCACATCTAACTAATTCATCTCAACACAGGGATGAAAACATTGTGTGGAAGTTCTTACCCAAGTCCTGCAGAGTAAGACTGGGTGAATGAGTTGAAATTGAGACCCAGGAAGAAAAAGAAACTATTTTTCCTGTACAGGTAGTCCTTGTCTTACAACGGTTCATTTAGTGACTGTTCAAAGTTACAACGGCACTGAAAAAAGTGACATGACAATTTTTCACGCCTGTGACCTTTTACAGCATCCCGATGATCATGTGAGCCAAATTCAGATGTTTAAGCAACTAGTTCATATTTATGATGGTTACAGTGTCTTGGGGTCATGTGATCCCCTTTGGTGACCTTTTGACAAGCCAAGTCAATGGGGAAATAGATTCACTTAACAACCAGGTTACTAACTTAACAACAACTGTAGTGATTCTGCCAGCTTTGGAAG